AGGATGGGGACGACATATTGTTTTGATTGCTTTGAAGAAATTCATTAACCCATGAATTTATAACAAATGATTACTATTATGATGTAAACAAAAATGAGGAATTGGTTGAATATATTTTGTATTCTATTTTCTTGCAAATCCGTACAATTCAACAGGTATGTGTAGCTATAATGATCACATATTCACACAGTATATTGAACTTAACAAATCTCGAGATTGCCATGAATGAACAAACGACCAAACCTGCTGCCAAATTTAACAGTTAGAAAATCGACCTATTATTTCTCCCATTCCCATTCACTGAGGGGATAACGGATGGTCAAATGTACACCTATAACATAAATCAAAATACATGAAAGATGTCCTGTTTTCTCTGTGCAAAAGCATCATGTTGGAATCAAAAAGTGGTCTTGTTTATAATACAGTCGAATTTTCACGATCTTATTCAACATTTTAATAGAAATCACTGATATTCTGAGACCTTTGACAGCTTCCGTCAAATTGCATTTCGATAAGGTATTTTCCTATTGGTCCATAATAATAATGTTGGTGAAATCGGCCCATATTATATTATTTATACATACAACAAATAATTCCAGAGGTAAATTTAATTCCCTCATGCAAAACTGTCAATAATCAGGCTCCACCTCTTATTGGACAGTTAAAAAAACATTTGAAACGCAAAGTTTAAATCTAAAGGTTTAGAAAAATCAATGCTTGTTGAAAGACTAAGACCGTACAACAGTTTGCCTAAAATCACCTTGTAATGTTGACCTTTTTGAAAAAAACTTCAGGGAGACTATTTTGGTTTGATGTGACGACCACTCTGTGAATTTGACACACCTTTTATCAAGTGTCTTGAAGCTAAATGAATAATCTTCTATTCTAAAGAAACCAGCCTTAAAAAAACATTACTTCAACACCTCCATAACATGCACCTTTGAAAAAGCCAATCGGTTGAACTAAAACTTTTGCGGATAAACTGGTGATGTAGTGATACACTTCCAAGGTATGTTGGTTTAGTTTTGGAAATTTTATTTAGAAAATTTTAAAAATTATTGTCGAGTATTGAGAGGTGCACAGCAGATGTCTTTCCAATGTTGACTGTGACGGCAGTTAACGTGATCAATTCATGAAATTTTACACGGGAAGGGCGGGGGGAGGGGGTTGTGGTATGAAGGGGCATTAATTGGGAAGAGGGACATTTCCCTAAGTCTTTTGAAAACTGCGAGTTGGAAGTATTCCGGATTTCGGCTTATTTTTAGACAACTTAGCATGGACACGTAGAGCAAAAGTTTCTAACATACAGAGCCTTGAAGTTGGCCAATTTGCTTATCCAATTACACGATAAGCATTTGTTGAGATATATTTTTTGTCTGAAAAACACAAAGGTGTGTCAAGCGCATGTCTAACATTTTTATAGACAAGGTGAAAATATGCAATTTTAAACGTTGTTTAATCAAAGGTTATTAGAGCATATAAATATCTTGTCCAGTTGATTTAGATTAACAAAAACTCATGCCGTATGTACAGAAATACCACTGACTGTCAAGTAAAAAGTTTCTGCAAAAATCCGTAGTAGTATACCAGAGATGCTTCTTAGGCAAATTTTGAAAAAAGTTCCCTTCCAAGCACTAAATATGATACTTCTGAAAACAGTACATATGTTAATGTACAGGGATCAGCACTTCTCCAGTAAAGTGCTCCTACATATCAAATAATGTAATAAGGGAAGGCAAGATTGAAAACAAGTCTTCAAATACAACACCTTAAGTGATGGTTTGTAGCAACGCTGTTATCGAAGTAAATCGTGTTTTAATAAAAAATAATGTATAAAATCACATTCCTTTTGGTGAATCAGTGAAAAAGTATTGGAAGCTGGGTGTGTTTTGCCTCCGCTGAATTTTTGCTGAGTAAGTTATGCTTATTGACGTTCACTTTGATAAATATCCTCAATTACTGTGTTAGTATTCAACTATAGTACATTAAAATTGACATTGATAAAGCTACACCTTGTAAACATCCTCTGCTGTCTCAGACTGCTGCTACCGCCATTTGAGCCTCCATTTTGTACGTAATAGTAACAACAAGCTTGTTCTATTCCGTTCAATCTATCGAGAAGCACTTTGAGTTTGTGGACATTAAATGACAAGAAGCATTTGCTTAGCACTTTAATGGAAAATAAATATTTAATATGAGAATATTGTCTCGTGACTTGTAAAACATAGTTTAGTATTAGTAAATCAACCACAAAATTTGTCACATTAGTACAAGGTACAGGTAAATTCACTGTTACACCATACCTTTCATGAGATAGGGACCATTACGCATAATGTGTTTCTATACATAGGCAATATAAGCTTATCTACTTGGCCTTTCTTCACCATCTTCAGAACTGTATCGTGACTGACAGTGTTGCTGAGCTATTACTCCAATGACATAATGATAGATTCTCACGTGCAGCGTCTTAACGTCTAATGAATAACGCGAAGACGTGGCATCCGAATAAGACAAAGCGTCAGCCCAGTTGGTTCAATAGCGTGAGCAACAATTGTAGCTCATTTGAATTTTGATGAGGGGATACACCACGAAAAGCAACTGCAAAATTGCCCATCGATATCGTTTAATTGGGATGCATTTGCATTTGGATTAGGTCTTCTATTTCTTTTCCCGGTCGGAATGTTACGTCAGGGACGTAGTCACCTATAGTTTCCTCAGGGGTGTGATATAATCTTAGAAAATGTGTGAGAGAGCGAGAAGTACCTATTTTATTGTAGTTAGGAGTTTATTTTTGTTGTTGTTTAAGCATTTATGAACTTATTCTACCTGAAGATGGTCAACCATATTGGGCACACCTGCGGCCATCTACCACCTTCGAGGGGAATCGAGTTGTTGATAGAAAATGCTGGGATGCATCGAGAACCGTCGATTCACAACATAAATATCCCACCAGATGGCGGAAGCAGGCAGTCACATTCAATACAGCCAAGGGCTCGAAATCAAGATGGAATAATAGTTATTAATTTGTTATAAATTAGTTGCGAGTGTTGTAAGTTAAGTGTTAAAGTAATACATTATGCTTTGGACGGTAACAACGTTACAATACGTTCCAGCGCCAGAAAGGGATCTAAGATATGTATAAGGTAGTAGCAGGACACAAAATGCAGTTAGAAATCCACTTTGAAAAGAATCGGAGTCTGATTCTGCTAATGTCCCATAGATGGCGCTAGACTCTTCAATCGTTTCTGGTGCCTCTCTAATGCCTGTTTGAATTGAGGATATCCAAGCAGTCCTAAACATATCGCACCTGTACAGGCGAAGATAAGTAAGTTGAGACCGAACAGATATCAACAATATGACAAAAATATGTACTTGTCATCAAAATACGTAAGTAGAGCGAATACTTAAAGTGATTTCAAATCGAGGACAGGTAAAGCAAAGGAACCCGCAGAACGGTGAGCGTTGAGCGCGGATAGAGAAATTACAAAAAACCCCTATGCTAACAACAACATGAAGTAATTCTTATGAAACATATGAATACTGTGACTCAATTTGGATGAAAATTACAAATAAAAAAAAATATTGTCTAGTCCAGGTGTTTTTTTAACTCTTAGTGTTGCAATTTGTGTGAAAGTTGCATTTTTGAAATATTGTCTAGTTTTTTCTTTTTCTGTTTTCTTTGGTATTTCAGTTATTTTTATGATCAATAGTTTGAAGTGTATTAGGCCTTGGTAGAGTCATGAGTCATTATCCAATGTTTTATTTTCTTCTCGAATAGTCCTAGTGAGTTTATTTGTTGAAATGGTTGAGGGAGCGTATTGTAACGCCTACGTTCCATGAAGCTATATGACCTTTGTAAGACATTTTTTCTGGTGTTGGGACTTTTTGCGTCTCGCATAATAATGCTTGATATCCACAGGATGCAGGAAAAAAGTAATTGTGTGCTTTTGGATACACTGCGTTTGTTGTTTTTTTAATAACGTGAGACGCATAGCAAGTGTTTTGTTGATGACGTATTTCACCAAATGCCGAGTTAAAAAAAGGCTCTCCAGCCGGAGACTGATTATTACAGCTTTCCCAAGTAGAAGAACTAGATTTTAACTGCTTTACATCTGCATAGTTATTGGTGTTTATGTACTCTTTGTGTTGTTGCATATGAAGGACGATGATACATACTAGAAATGTAACCACTGCTTAACACAAAAGGTAACAACACTTAATAACGCCCTCCACCAATGCTGACCGCATCTTCAGCCCATAAGCAGAAAATGATTGGAGGTCCTATACCTCTAGCGTACTTTAAGGGCAGTGAGCACCAACCAAGGGAATCAAGACTAAGTTAGTACATTGCTGGAAATATATGAAATTAGCGACTTCAGGAGTTGTTTTGGAATTATGAGAGAATATTCTTGATATTGAAGCTACAGAGTTCCCGTACAGGACCAATTTCACCTCGAATTTCATATATTTCCAGCAACAAACCAACATAGTTTTGAATCCTTTCGGTTGTTGCTCGCCACCCCAAAAGGCTGTTCTGAATGGATAGATGTCACTCTCACCATCATTAAAAGGACGAACCGTCAATCAGCCGGAATACAAGGCACCAGTAATAGCATGCTATGTAAAATTGGCTTATAGGCACAGGCTGAATTGAATATGTTTGATTTCCCTCTTTGATGCAACGATCAGCCAAACGTTGTTTCATGCCTGTTAGCAATAACCAGTACTGTCTAGTTAGGAATGTATCATTTAACGACCATATCTATACATACTGATGATTGATGGTCACCATGATACAAGTTACAGAGACAAACATCAGACAGACTCAGTTCAGCTACAGTATAACCCCTTAGACCCGCCATTGGTGGATGGTGCATCGCAGCCTGTGGCGTGGGTATGCCGCCTAGCATTTAAACTGCAATTATAGACTGCATCTTATTTACTGATCAGATGTATAAGGCGATACCAGACGAATGTAATTGTTGCGAATACTGTTTCAGGTAATGTTTACGTCTGAAGTGCAAGGCTGCTCGCTCCAGAAGCTGTTCCAGAATCGAATTATCGACGATATTGCTACACTGATAGAAATGTTACTTCCGACGATTGGAAGGGTCCTATATACAAATCACAGTTTTTTCACTGGAATAGCCAAATACAGAGCCTATATACCAAGGCATCATGGAGGCTATAAACAGATTCGGTATATGGAACGTCTAGGTTAATCGAACTGGAAAAAACATATCCAGCACAATGGAGGAATGAAGGAACTGCAATATTGACCAGCTCTGAAGGCAGTATCTAACATAGAATGAGAAGTATGAGATAACTGCGAAAATCAGATCCATTTTGAAGTTACAAATCACAAATATCAAACAAGAATTAAAGTCGAGGATATTAAAAGAACAACATTTACAACAAAAAATGTAGGTCAAAGATGCTTCAGGTACCTCTCCTTTAGATTTTATAACTTTTTGCCAGGCCATCTAAAATCCATTTCAAATAGAAATAGATTCAAAATTGAAATAAAAAAATTCTTGTTAAATAAAAATCGAGATGGAATAGCAAAACTCACTCAAATGAAAATAAATTAGTTTTTGAATGTAATGTTATTACACTTACCTTTATTGCTCCGTTCGGTTTAAATTTATGTATTGGCTACACTTAACTATGTTCAAAGCAAAAAAAGTTATGAAAAATGTTTTCCTACGCACAAGAATAACTTCTTCTGTGGGATAAGTTCTGTTTATTTGCCTATATATGCATATTTATTTTAAATAAACTGTAATTATACGTGAATAAACCTATATTATTATTATTATCATTATTATTATTATTGTTATTATTATTATTATTATGAATGAGACCAACAAATAGAACAAGAAATTCTAGGCAATTCTGCTGCGATTGCATTCATTTCTGAAGACGAGAGATCAATATCAGGGAATATGAAATAAGTTTGATTGCTTGAGTAAAGACGCTGAGTAGACGAGTCTGCTAGCATGGCGAGCTGTTAGTCCAATGACCAGAAGGCTCGCGGGTTCGAATCTTTGCGTGGGAAGTCATAACAGATCGACAATTGATCAACAGGTACATCACTGGAGGTGGTATGTGGAGTCGTACCGTGTTGATACTACGGGGCGGTAGAAAACGCCAAAGGTGGCCTAACCTTCAGGCCTCGCCTCTCCACCAACACAAATACTTTTGGTTGGTTACATGAGTGGCAAGATATCAGCGTTCTTCGTGGTGATACATGGTACAATATCATGAACATACATCTAAATAAAGCTCGACTTGGAGTTGAAGCTGTCTCAAACTTTTATTATCTTTTGGTTTCACTATTCAAGTATTGCTGCAAGATCCAACGCCATATATTATTTCTATGCAGTTTTTTAGTATAGTTGTTATGTATTGAATAATTGTATTTAATTATTTTCTTAAAGTGGTCAGGTTTTTTCACATCATCGACAAAAATAAAGTATCTCATTAGCATCATTAGTTACTGTCAGCGCAGTATGTGTCTGAATTATGTAACACAAGACGTCCATAATGCTTCTCAAGGGGAAGATAATCTCACCCGTGCAAATGTGTAAATATCGCTAAACCCATAAAAGCCTTCAAGTGGAATTCCATCTACTTAAAGGCAATAAGTTACGGCATCTGCCAGCGTTCCTGAGACACTCACCAATCAAAACAAGTTTTTAATCATCATATTCGGTCTTCCGAGAAACACGTTGTAAATAGCGGTTATGACACCTTTCAAAATCGTCTTAAAACTATTCTCAACCTACTCGTTTGTATAATAAAATTTGATTATGGTTAGAAATCCGCTTTATGATATTATAGTATGTTTCAGGATCCCCGCTGTAGGGCTTATTTCCAACTTTTGGTCAATTAAAATTAAATCTGTAAGTTATGTTCGATATACCGCAATGGAGATAGCAGGGATAGACCTATTTTATTAAATCAGCGTTAGAACTGTACAAGGTGGTGCCATGCTATCAGGTTGAAGAAACGCATTCATCTAATGACCTTTTTATACAAATTTCTTGCAACTAATTGAATTTGGGGTTTGAAGAAATACAGTTTCCTGTTATTAAGTCGCCTATATTTTGGAAGATGTATTTCCTTCGTCAGGGCTCGACAAAAAGTTTTAAAACACTTACTTTACATATACAACAATTAACAATTTAAATAATAAAAACGAAGTAAATGATACTTATTTTGGTTAAGACATTATATGAAATGAGTTATTTAAACGAATCCTCGTACAATTCCATTAACAAAATTGCAACAATAGATAAAGATGAAGTGATTATTGATATTTAAAAAAATTAAAAAGTCCATTCCGTTTTACTTCGAAACTGTAGCCAAAAAATAATCTAACATTACGTACATCTTAGATATCATTTAGACTGCAACTGAACAATAATGAAAAAACGAAAGACTATTACGAGGCACAGTTAAACACAGACTGGTGTAAAGGAGAAATATATTTCGAAGTAATAAAGAACTTAGCTATTTCTGTTATATTTGATGTTTTAGTTAGTTGCTACTGTACATTAGGGATTAGGTAAAGAGTGGAACTCCGGTGGTTTGAGTTTGAAGATGATTTGAATAAATTATTGAAATTTGTCGGGGCTAAGTCCGGCGAATAAGGAGAATGTGGCACTATTTCCTAGCTCAGATGCAGTATGCTTTTCCGGGTACTCTCAATAGCTCAGAATGGAACAGGCCGCATAACCTCAATAGATATACACTTTTAAAGTCCATGAAGCAGAACAACTGTTCCACGCAGCCTCTTACAAACAGCTTCTACATGAGGCAACCAAAAATTTTATAGACTGCTGATACCCATTATTCTCTCTGACGCAACAAATCGTCTTTTGAGTCTGGTCAACGTTCAGCACAAGTCTGTTAGACTGGAAGCATTGCTCAGCCGTCATCCGTGTATCCAACAAGCCCTGCTCCAAATCAAATATTTGAATGCCATATATGCAGATTGTGGTATCATCAGCAAAGATCGTGTAAATGGCATTGTTGTTACATGCCGATAAGTCATTCATGTATATCAAAAGAAGTAAGGGAACAAGAACTGAGCCTTGTGGCACCTCTATATTTCAACTTTTCCTCTAATGACAATAAGCTGCACTTTCTGGTGTCGGTTTTCAATGTAAGATTCGAATTGCTGAATGCTGGAATTGGAAAATTTGTATGCCTCCAGCTTTTGAAGTAAGATTATATGTGATGCACAGTCGAAGGCTTTGCTTAAGTCCACAAACAATGATGCACCAAACTTTCCATTATAAGTCTTCACTAAAGCATCCAAATGATTTTATATATATTATATATTTACTTCCAGGAGCTTCCTCAATCAAAGCCTTGGCTCATTTGTATCTGTTTCTAGTGGACGCCACACCTTGGTTGATCTATCAAGGAATAGTCAAAGTGCAGCTTCTGCAGCATAATGTCCAGATTAATACTCATATTGTGCGAAAATCTACCTCGTTTCTTTTTCTTTTTCTTTGCGCAATGGTAGCTGAAGTGTTACCTTCGTGCATGATTGGGACTTGCACCTTATATACCCTCCACCATAAAACGTTCATGGACTACTCATGGGTTTGAGAAATCATACTTATGTAGGACTTACGTTTGAATATAATAATAATAATCCGGCTTTATTTATACAAAGTATAAAAAGTTTCGCTAAAAAGCGTTTTTCAAGTTAACCCACGTACACTTTATACAGGTATATTCCGAATCTAATTTATGCTCTCTGCTACGGCAACATTATAAACCCCATTGGGTTGTTGACGTTTAAGTCGACACCGCATAACTGTCACTTTTCCTTTATTGCTCTATGATTTTGAGTTCTGAGACGATTTGTCAATTATTTCTTGTGGTTATGACATGCGGCATTTGATTTTGTGTTATTTGAAAAATGAATCCTGTTTCATCGAACTCCTACCCGTAATTTCATTCTCTTTCGACCAGCTCTTACACTTATTACATATTACCCAGTCAGATGAATGCGTCAACACTGAGAAGACTAGGAGCTGCATTGGCCTCTAGCAGACCTGAGTAGTATTCGAATATTCGGTATTTGGAATCCTATTCAGAATTATTTGTTTGGCTGGTATTCGAATACAATTCGAATACATTTGTGTCTGTTATCCGACTGAATACTTTCTTGGTCAGTGCCTAGTCAGCATTCTGGATTCTGAATACCGTTTCTTAATCCCAATATTCGGATACCTACTTCGTGTTCAAATCCCGGTATTTGAATCCTATATTGCAATCCTGTTTTCGAATACTATTTGCCTACTCTTATGAATGTTGGGTTACACTTTAGGCAACTTAAGCGTGTAAAAACACGCTTGCGGTGGTTGTGGATGGAACAAACAAAATAGGCCAGAGGTTATATTGACAATATTCGACAAGTTTCCGAATACAACGAGTAAATCTATAAAGCTAGTCGCTACTATCTGAGATGCGTTTCATGCCTGCCATTACTATATAGATATCACCCTGTAGGTTAGTAAATCACTACTAAATCCATATTACAAGAACCATAAAACGGTGAACGACTCTCCGCTACCGCTACGGTATACATTTTTAATAAACAAGGATTTATATAATAGAAATCCTCGGACTTAAGCCGCGGATTTATTGTCTTTGCCGGAACATTGGCTTCCTACGTACAAGCGTACTTAAGTACTACACGGCGATAAAGATGTCCCAGTAAAAAGACTTTGCGAATAGTAATTGTCATTTCGTACGAAAAGGACGGACGAAGCCGCGTAGTTTCATTGAAAATACTTTGAGCGGGAGAAGTATATTTTTCTAAACGAGTCCAGGGTACCGTGTAAGGAAAAATACGAGTACATACGTAGACTAGGTCTGTCGGTATGTTTGTCTGCCTGTCCCCTACCCATCCTCGGTTTAGAAAGTCCTGTTTGGATTTGGAAGGTTATTATGACAATAAGTTTTTGGAAATTACTCCAGTGACACCGCAGAAACCTTTTTCACAAAAGCGAAAAAATAAATAACGATTTTTTGACGCTTCAAAGGCCCCTGATAATTTTTTAAACATTTTTGGGGGAAAATTGGGAGGTGGATTTTAGTGTAGTAGGAGAGGATGTATCGCAATTTTTTGATATCAGTACGCTAATTCACTTGCAGCCCAGGTAATCATACGTACACATTTCACACATGAGTTATATAGCGAGAGCCCCTCGTATATCTTCTTAATAGCTGTAATTATATCTTATCTTAGTAAACAACCCTATGTTATATATTGATGGTTGTGCCCTTCAGGCATCAGTTTAATCCCATTACTCTTAAATTGAACTCACTTAGGTTAGGTTTGCTAACATATCGTTGTTAGTCGAAACACTGTATTTATATTAGAATAAAGTATCAAATCGCTTGTAAGTCGTTTTTAAAAACACGATTCCGCGACGCGATACCATCATTGGCGCAGCTAGCAGTAGGATCAGAAGACTGGATCAGAACTCAGCAGAGGACTTCCAGGCTGATTTCAATCACTCACTTCTGGAACCGACGAGACCAGGAAGATCAGGAGAAGCCCAAGGACGAAGATCGACGCCAGAGTGCTGTGTCTTCAAAGTCTGAAGGTAATTCAAGTCGAATTTTCCTTGTCTCTCCTCTAACCTTTTTTAATTTAAGATTTTTGGTGCAGTTTTGTAAAATTTAGATTTTGCTGAAGATTGCTCAAAACATTAGTATTAAGTTAGTTCTCGTTCAAGAGCTACATTTTTGAAGAGAACTTAATTTTAGTAAATTTGTAGAGAGCTACATTTTCGATTTAGATTAGTTACTATTTTTTAAATTTTTGCCGGTTGCAAAATTATTAATTATAAGGAAATTTTCACATTAAAATAAGGCTTAAGTAGAATCTCATTAAATTTTATTACATTCGTATTCACTTGGTATTTTCACATTTTTCATACTTTTACATTTTTAATTTTTACACATTTTTATACATTCGACATTTTACATTTTTACATTTTATTTTTCATTTTCTTACAAATCTTAAAAGTCTCTCAACTTTAATTTTCTCATACGCCCAGACCATAACTTTATGCAAGATTCTAATTCGGCTCTAGATACTATTACAAACTTATTAGAAAACATGTCTCTTAATAACAGTACAATCACCGTTCCAAGCATACACGCCGCAAAAGCTATTGCAGATTTTCTGCCATATTTCGATGGTGATACCCAACAACTGGAATCATTCATCTTTAGATGCGAAACATTTTATAATACTTATGGTAGATCAAACGATGCCAGTTTGAACGATTTCGTCTTTAATGCAATTTGTTCAAAACTAAAAAGTAACGTTTACAACTTTTTAATGTGTAGACCAGATCTCATTTCTTGGCCTCTAATTAAAAATGCACTCAGAGAGAATTTCGGTGACAAAATTGACAGACAAACCCTTACGAGAGAATTTCTGCAATTTTCAAAATATAGAAATGAAACCATTTTGGAATTTTTAGGACGATTAAAATTAATTAAATCAAGAGTTGAAGTTAAAATCCAGACAGATCCTTCACTCACCCCTGATCAGAAAGTTTTACTTACCAACCAAAATGAACTAAATGCACTAGACGTATTGACCGCAAATTGTGATGATAGACTTAGGCTTTTGTTAGACATTCAACAGCCCTCCGACTTATCAGATGCGACCAACGTAGTTACTAAACATTTCTACAATGAGATGAGAATAGATGCACTGACAAAAAGACAGAATTTCGGACATCCTAGCCACTTTCAATCACATTCACACAAACCTAGACGTTACAATTATAATAACTCATCACGCCAAAATTATTACCCATCTCAAAGACACAACCCTACATACACTCAACCTAATACCACACATATTAATTATCAACAACCACCAGCCATACATGAACAATTTCCTTCTCAGGAGTTTCACGCTCAATATTCACCACAAAATCATTTTTCTCAGACACATCAACCTTCCTTCAATGAAAGTAGACAATTTCCATCTCAACCTGCTCCATTACCAAAACCCCTTCCAGTTGAACAAAACTTCCCGACAAACAGGCAGGTATTCGGACCACCTCAGTCCCAACGCTCAACAAATGTTTTTCGCCCCAAAAACTCATATAAACCAGTACAGTATTTCCGTCCCTATGTTTTTGGCACTAAATTCAATATAATTAGTGACCATAAACCTCTACAATGGTTGTTCTCAATCAAAGAACCCAGTTCCATGCTTGTTAGATGGCGCTTAAAATTGGAACAATACGACTATAAAATTATTTACAAGAAAAGCAGTTTTAATACTAATGCCGATGCCCTATCACGAGTAGAAATTCACCCCCTTGACCTAGTGACAGACAATCTTTCAACTTTAGGAAACTTTGACAGCTCAGAATCTTTTAACATTGACGACATTCTTAACGACGTTTTCCCAAGTCACTCAGAGACCCTACCGACCTTACCAAATGACCTTGGAGACATTTTAGAGACTTTCGATAATCAACAATCTCCGGATGACGATAGTAATACCAATCCTCATCATCAATCATCATCCAATCCTAAAGCAAAAATTAAAGTTCTCCAAAATATTCTTATCCGACCCTCAGAAAAAGTCCGCTCAGACAGTGAGACAGTTCATAGTTCTTTTGAAAATCCGATAATAGAAATCCCATATACAGACAAAGTATTAAACATTCACCAAAACCAAGTTATTTTAGGCATATCACCCTGTAAATTATTTCGATGCCACTTTGAAAAAATTTTCAAAAAGGAAAGGCATACATTTTTAGTTATGAAAGATTTATTAGATGTAAGCAAAATAAATGAACTAGAAGAAATTTTCGCTAAGCTAATTAAAGAGTATATCAGACCTAATCAACACTACTGCGTATATTTTAAGAATTTAGATTTAGAAAAACCATTCATTAATTTTTTACAAAAGTATTTTCAAAATAAAGCATTTACAATGGTTATAAGTAGAAAAATGCTAGAAGACGTAGTTGATATTGATGAACAAAATAATAAAATTAAATTATATCATGAAACCAAAACTAGCCATAGAGGTATAAACGAAAATATTTTAGCGATTAAGAAGAATTTTTATTGGCCTAATTTAGATGTAGACGTTAGAAATTACGTAAATTCCTGCGATATATGTCAGAAATCGAAATACGAAAGGCATCCCAATAGGTTAATCTTTAAACCAACTCCCATAGGATCTAAACCATTTGAACATTTATATACGTATATAGACTCTTTTAAAATTTCAAATCAATATTTTGTAACAGTTACAGATAGCTTTTCAAAGTTTTCACAGGCATTCCCAGTTAGTTCATTAAATGCAATCGAGACAACTAGTGCTATGATCCAATTCTTTTCATTTTTTGGCATTCCTCATAAAATCACATGCGATAATGGTACCGAATGGAAAAATAATATTTTCCAAGATCTTTGTAGTATGTACGACATCTCTCTTCATTATACAACAGCATATAATCCCAATAGTAATAGTCCAGTTGAGAGATTTCATTCCACTATTATAGAAACAATAAGAACCTTAAGAGAGGAAAAACCTCACCAAAATATTAGAGATCTCATGCATTATGCAATTTTATCATACAACAATAGCATTCAATCATCAACTGACTTTACCCCTTTTCAAATTGCTAAAGGACAGCTAGATTTTAGAAATCCTTTCGAGACAACGCCGAACGAACAGATTTCCTCATATATGATAGAACATTCCCAAATCCTTAAACTTTTGTCTCAACAACTAACAGAAAAGTTAGAACGTAAACAAAGACAAAATTTAGAAAGAGAAAATAGACTTCGAAATCGTTCTCTTTCGCTTGATGTAAAGCAACCGCTTTTTTCATTAAATAATTCCAAAACAAAGAAAGACCAACCACTTTACAAAAAACTGACCGACCCTACAGTTACTGGTGACAATAAAGTTATATCAAAAAATAAAGTTACGCATCAAAGACAGCTCAAACCACAACGAAAAATCATTGTTACAGGTAGACATGACAGGAACAAGGCTGCTACACCTACTCCTGATGATAGCTCTGACGATGACATTCCCCTTTCCCAATTATTCAGTCAAAATCACAAGATTAATAAACCCGATCCTTCCACTTCAGCTAGGTAAAGCATATATCTTAGAAAATCAGCACACATTCTTATATCATATTAACATTAGTACCCCCGTATATATTTTAGATAGCATAGGGCAACATATTTTAAGAACGCAAGTATTTTTGAAACAAAATTCCAGTCACTTTTCAATTCAGCTCTTACAAAATTTGGAACATGCTATTTCTTTGAAAAATAAAATCGACAATAAATTTGGCATTTTACATAATAAACGCATTAAAAGAGGTTTATTCAATGGTGTTGGTACACTTTCGAAATATTTGTTTGGAACGATGGACTCCGCAGATAAAGAAATCATTAACAATTATTCGGATACTATTAAATCTAATGAGTTGAACTTACAATCTCGCATAAACAAACAACAAACAATATTAAGGGATATTACCACTCATTATGAGATTACTTTTCAGACCATTAGGGATAACGAGAAAATTATTGTTAGTCATCTAAATGACTTGATCAGCAACAATAAAATTTTAAGGGAACAAGATAATGTATTATCACTCAGCCTCACTATAGATAAAATTATTTTGGAATTACAATCTTTATATGAAATAATTAGCAATTTACAAACAGCCTTATCGTTTGCACGAATACACATTTTACATTCTGCAATTCTAGACACAAATAGTATTTCCTCAATTTTAAATTATTTATCCAAAGATTATAGTAGCGAAAGAATTCCGAAATTTGATCACGTAATTGACTATTATTCGTTATTTACAACCGATGTAACTATTTTCGATAATATCATTTTATTTAAAATTTATGCACCATTAATCTCGAACCCCTTTCATTATTTTAGTGTCTTTCCTGTTTTTCAATTTAACTATACCCTAATCCCAAAATCCCAATACCTTCTTTTCGACTTGAAAAACCACTGGAACACAGACCACCTTTGCACAGAAGTCGCAAATAAATACTTCTGTAAACACGAAGACTTATTAGAAGCAGATCCATGCCTAGTAGAAATTATCAAAAATGGAAGAAATACTTGTCCCATAACAAGAATACAGCAATCAAGAACTCTGGTACAGCAGATATCTTTATCTAAAGTAATCATAAGTCCAAGAGAGCCCACTACAGTGCATTCGTCATGTCCAGAAGACGGCCTGATAGTTATTTCTCAACCAAGTCTCATAGAACTCCAGCGATGCAGCTTAGAAATCAATCAACACAAGTTCTATCCCTCAGATCGCATCGACCATGAAACAGTTTTCCCTTTACCAGCTATAATCCTGACCAATTTCACGAAGCAGAACCTTGTTGATGTAACAAAATTCAACTTGAAGACAATCCAGAATCTTCAAATATCTCAAGAACAAATCAACGAAGACAGTATCCAGTTCCCAGATCGACTCATAGAGAAGACAAATCTAATCATATTTTTACTTCTTCTGTCAACTTTCATTGGATACATCATTTACCAAATTTTAAAGAAGCTAGGAGAAGCAAGAAGACGTAGAGAAGAAGAAGCAGTTCCGGATTCGCAAACTTTGGATCCCCCGTTTGCTCATCTTCGGCAGGGAGGAGTTATATAGCGAGAGCCCCTCGTATATCTTCTTAATAGCTGTAATTATATCTTATCTTAGTAAACAACCCTATGTTATATATTGATGGTTGTGCCCTTCAGGCATCAGTTTAATCCCATTACTCTTAAATTGAACTCACTTAGGTTAGGTTTGCTAACATATCGTTGTTAGTCGAAACACTGTATTTATATTAGAATAAAGTATCAAATCGCTTGTAAGTCGTTTTTAAAAACACGATTCCGCGACGCGATACCATCATTCATGACACATTTCCCCTTAAAACTCAAAATATTTTCCACAGACGGATCGCGTATCTATCAATCATACTTACCGTGTGCCACAAGGTTGTAAATATTGCATATTCAGTAGTGGATCCAATCTGGTAACGGTATGCACATGCAAGGTGGGTGCAATATTATCATATAGACTATATGCTTGTAGTGTCATTCAATGAGGTTATCTTACTTCGTGAGGTAACAAGTATTTTTAAGAAAGTTTTGCACGGAAGCTCCTAAGAAATAAGGCTACCGTGTAGGGACACTCTTATTGCTGCAATCTAGAGGACTTTTTTCCATGAAAAGCCTACGTCTTTTTGATGCAAAACACGTTTATTTTACAACTCTAAGCGCTAAACAATAAATTGTAATAGAAGCTTTACTGAAGGCGGGGAGAGTATAGAGTCAATCTATTGACGGCATTTCTTGGAATGTAGTAGGGAAGGCTTAGAAAATTCAATACAAAGCGATATAGCATGGAGCGAAGAATCAAGATGCCCGTATTTTGTTTGTAAAGTTCTCAGTTTGTTGTTCTACTTCAGCGTGCACTATCGTCCGTACCTCAATTTAAAGCGTAGGAACACTCAGTGCCAACAATAAAATTCCACTGCAATTTGATAGCAAAAAAGAATAATATTGAACCTTCGTAGCGCTGGAAGGCGAAGTTTATGTGGGAGCTGATAAAAAGGTGCAGTTTCCGTTACTGGCGCTTGCAATCTAACGCTATCAGTTCTCAATGAGAGCTTTGGTGAATTAGCCGAACCTAACGCTTCAACAATGCTTCTGTGCATACCTCAAGAGACTACTATGGTCATCGGCTCTGTTAACCCTTAACCGCCGTAGTGCGGTCACTGAGACCGCAGCACATATTTATTTCTATATATCTTACCCCTACTTCAATATAATTAGGCAATATCCTCGCTGCTTTCAAGCGACCACGTGGACAGTTTGTCCCTAAAAGTTGAAGGTGGCAATTTTATCGGTTTACAATAGAAAAACGACAAATTTTGAGAGCGGTCACAGTGTCTATGTTACTATATCTATTAAGATTTTTGTATAGCCAGTGTGGTTGCCTGTCAACTTTGTGGATTATTTTTGGCAGCACAGATCCTCAAGAATGAATCGGAATTATACTACAGAGTTTCCCAATAGGGATGATAGGATTTTGACAGCATACTGCCGCCATCTTAGTTGCCTATTTTGTGCTGAGTTATTTTGTGTTCAGTAAGGCAGTTTGAAAATCGTCTAAATATTCTATCAAAGTTCCAGAAATGTTGCCGCTACTCAAAGAGCATATCATGCTAAATATGGTCGCCATGGTGCATCGTCTCAGCTCGATAAACGTCGCATAATTCAAAATCTGGAAAGTGAATATTCTTTGCACGATAGTTGACCACCAACCAGAATGCGATCTGGCCGTAGTTACTTGATATTTGTGGTGTAAATCCAAATATTCTTCATCAGTCGTTCAAAAATAGCACAAAGATCGAAAAAGCAGACTCTAAAAATTCTTGCCGATCAATATTGGTAAGACCCCATCTTCGTAGTGCAGAAAATACAAAACTAAAGCGTGAAAAAGAAAAACTTTGTATTTATGTAAAATGTGCCAAAGCCTACTTATTTGGAGCATTCGTCAAAAATTTGTAAAAATTTTAAACACAATCTTTGACTTTTTCACCCTTTGTATTTATTTATTCCTTTCAAGTTATCAGTCAAACTAAGTTATGTCTCAGTGGACAGTTTAATCATGTTTTAGAATCTGTTACTAATTCCGCATAGAATATTGTGTTTTGTTTTATAGCTAACTAAGATAAGGAATTTATGTAAAAATATGTCGAAGTGAATGATGTTCGATGTTTTTATTTTTTGAATGAAGTATGGTAAAAATTATATGTTATGTGTTACTTCAGACCTCATTCTACTCTGCCTGAAAATTTACAATACGCAAAATATTTAATTTTTTGTAATTGAGATTGTTAGTAATGTGCGGTCACTGAGACCGCACTACGTTAGTCACGTTACATTTTCTGCACTACGGTAGTTAAGGGTTAAGGAGGCTTTTGAGCTTTTTTTGGCGGAGATAGAATTCAACCTTGGCTTTATATTCACCGGATTTAGACGCGCCTGGGTTTTTTGTTTAGGGATATTTGTATATGTGTTTATGAACCAGCCAAGTAACGCTACCTACTTGAAAGACAACATATGCAACAAAACTACAGACATACGAGCCCCTTCCCACTTCAGTTGGCCCACTTCAAGATTTGTACCAAAATATGCCTTTATAAACTAAAGCCGATTTTTCTTTTGCAGTGGAGTTAATAGTGGCTTTTCTTTGGCCTATAAACAAGGTGTGCAACTTTCGGGTTTTTACTTCACTTTTTTTTATAAGAAAACCTACCTCGCAAGTGGGCCTCTCTATGAGTTGTGGACCTCGAAAATCTCCTTCCAACAGCGTCACTCCAAAGAGCACTTACTTGTAAATAATTGGCACGCCTGTTTTTCACGATTATTCTTCTTAATGCTCTTCGGTCGGCATTTGCAATATTACTTTTTTTCACATTTCGTGGCTTAATATTACCTGAACCAGTTACGTTATATCTTCTAACAATATTTCTCACACTGTACCGCGATAGGTCTAACAAAGTTGCAATTTCTGAGTTTGATTTCCCAGAATTAAAAAATTTAATTATCAGTAACCAAATTTTCACACTAATAATCTTTCCTCTACCCATTTTGAGAACCTTAACTACCCAAAACTATTTTAAACGTATTCTGACAGCTGTGATTAATAAAAACAATTATCATGGCTTTTATTTTTCACAGCCACCTATGCGTTATAGACTTATTTTGCATTGAAATGAAAATAGACTGATATGCTGTAATTGCAACATGTGTTATTTTTATGCTGCAAATTTGATTGGGGAGTGATAAAGTTGGTGTTTTCTACTATATATTATCAAAATATTCATTGTTAATATTTTAAACCTATAACACCCTGCTACATTTTTATGATTTGTGTTTGATAAGAAAAAAAACTAAGATTTCAATAGTTGGGCCAACTGAAGTGGGAAGGGGCTCGTACATTCCAAGAGTAATGGACAACACTATGGAAGGACACATGTTTAATACAGCTTACTTTATACCTCTGCACCCTGTACACGCGCTAACTTTAAACAAAAGTAGTCTACCTGCCAAGCTAATGTGCCACGTACCGTTATAGAATAACCCACATCACTGCAACCCCAATGGCGTCTTTTGTTGTTTTGGACGTTTTATTGCAGATGTGGCAACCTGCCTCTTTAAAAAATACATTTGTTCGAAAATCACAGGTGAATGTGAGAGAGTGCTTTTGCGTTTCACCCTGTCAACCCATCAGCGTGGCGTCACATCCCATTTCCAGACGGGGTGCACACACGCGGACTGTCGCGTCAAGCGTTTGACGTACAGCTTCCTGTGCCTGACGTGCATGTGCAGGGACGTATCCAGCCCGATTTCACTACCTTGGGGAACAAATCCAATCAGAACGTGTTTTTTGAAGTAGCGTATCTGACCAGTCGAGTCGATTTCTTCTAATATATTTCTCTAACTAGTGAAAAAGATATACGAATTATTAATATATACCGTAGCAGCCGTGCAGGCAGAAGCCTAAACCGAGGCTTCTATGAGGAGCTCTGTTAATCTGATGTTTGAACTGCCTAAATTTGGTAGATTTAAAAAAAGTCTCTTCAGGTAGATCATTTCACAATCTCGATACCATAGCGACAAAGGAGCGGCCAGTTCTGGATGTACGAAGTTACACGGTTAGGATGGGAGGCCGAAGTCAGTCGGGTCTGTCTGGCACCCATATCGCGCGGCGGCATTACAGGAAAGCGCTCTGAGGAGCAAAGCCCGTTGGCTTAGCGGTAGAAGAGAGAGATTGCCGACGGAGCACCGGTGCGAAAGGGTCCCGACACTGTCAGTTAGAGAATAGCGATCGGTCAGTGAGACAACCCTCCTCTGAACACCGTCGAACAGCGATGATGTAGCCGGGTCAGCAGCACCCCCAACATGTGAGCAGTACTCGAGGCTAGGTCTTATCTGGGCGTTGTACAGAGTGAGGAGGTCATGTAGAGAAAAGTAATTCTTAGCCCTGAACAGATAGCCTAGATTTTTCCCAGCAGCACCGCTATTGACTAGATGTGATCGTACCAGATCAAGTCTTCGGTAATCTGGACTCCAACTATCCGAAATAAATAGCTCTTTGGTAGAACTCAGCCATCCATCGATGTCTTGTTAGACAGTATTGCGCTCTACAAGCATCCAACTCTACCAGATTGTTGCATCCCAAGCAGTGATAACCTCCAGGTCTCTGGTCAGAGAGGAATCTACTGCTAGTCTCCTTTTCTCCAGCTGTATATATAGAGTGCTGTCATCAGCAAAGCTGTGCATCGGGTCGATCGTACAGGAAAGCAGATCGGTGATATGTGAGAGCTGCAATGTCGGAGCCAAGTCTGACCCCTGGGGAACAACTGCGTTGGCATTGGGGGATGAAGAGGAGATCCCGTCAATTGCGACGGACATCTTGAACCGAGAGAGGAACTCAGCCACCCATCTGCAAAGCTTTCCTGAAGGGAGTATAAGATGGAAGTTTGTATAAGAGGGCATCATGTCACAGCTGATGGAACGATTTTGTGATCTCAAGAACAACGGCATGACCCTCACCATGAGACTGGATGAGATTATTCCACAGTTGTG